TGGATACAGATAGACACTAAGTAGTTGAGACATTGTACACGTTAGCTACAGATTGCCACTAAGTCGTTGAGACATTGTACTCGTTGGATACAGATAATAATAAAAATACAATATTTTCATTTAGCGCCCTGTCTTGCTAGCAAAAGCCTCTCTAAAGCGATTTACAGTACATAGATATACAACTAATACAATTAGCATATACATTAATCAATACAATTTTGAAGAATTCGCAGGAGCTGCCTTATCGGTCGCTAACAACTAGTCCTATGCCACCCGGCTAATATATCCGTATGTGTGTATGCCTACGTGTGTGCTTGTGATGTAATGTGTTATGTTTGTAGTGGGACCGTGCTTCCAACGGCATCATTTACAGTGCCACCCCACTTGAATGATACAGCACAGTTACCGCAACATCTATCCCAGACTAATGTATATTCCACCTGGGTTGCAGTTGTGTGGGCAGGAGAAAAACACTTTCTCTGAATATCCATGAGTACGACGACTTCGGGGATCGAACACCGGCCACCTGCGTTGAAAGTCTGAGTGTTAACCACTCGACCAATCCGTCCAATTCCAAGATACTAAGTAGTTGAGACATTGTACTCGTTGGATACAGATATTTTTTTTCTATAAGTCTGACGAATTCGCGTTACTTTTGAAATTCCAAAACATATAAAAAATATACATGTGCTAATTAAGAAAAATATGAATGCAATCTTTTCAAATTACTTAAGTAGCTCGTATAAAATTATCTTATCTTTAAAAAGTAAAATTTAAAGTGTAGCTAACATTATACATGTAGAAGGTTTATAAATATCAACAACATTTGAAGTAAAACCATAATATTTACCTCGCACGTCCAACTGTGTCGATTCCTGAAACTGCTCCAGTCCGTTGACCTTAATCTTTCCTTTTCATAATTCCTCACGTGACGTGTCTGAGCGGAGTGACCACAAGCTCGGCAGTGGAGCGTGGAATCATGAAGGAGAAAAACATCTTCATTTTTGTGTTTCCTCATATGCTGTCGTGTCAGTATTTATACACGCGTGTGGTAGTTGAGCAGACGACTGCTGCCCGCGTGCCCCGAGACGGAGTGAGTGAAAATATGGCATGGACATTTATATTTATTCATTACGATTGAGAGCAAATTGCTTTTCATTTTCGAAGTTTTAAATATTATTCTGCATTTTAACTGGTATGTGTTCTCTAGACCCCTGCAGATAAGGGGGAAATAAGCCTGCTTTATTCCAATGCATGTTGTCGCAGCAGGTAACTAATGTCGGCCACTGTCGAGTCACGTTTTGCTAAGGGAACATTAGGAAACCCAGACGGACTTGCTGCCCTCATTGTAACACTTGGGATCTTATACTCTTTCTTTCCCGATCACTTACTATTCAGTTAGAGGGTATCTCCATAATGGCACTTCGTCAGAAAAACAGAAACAAAATATTCTCGTGGTTCGTTTATGTCAATTATATATTTTTGTCAATGTCTACTTACTTATTCCAGTGAACTAAACCAGCGAATTAGAATCCTCACAACTATAGCAAAATATAGGAGTAAGTCTCTTTTGTAAAACTCACGGAATTGTTTTACTGTATGCGAATGAGAGAAAGGTGACGTACACGGTGCATGTTGATTAGCCAGACGTCATGGCAAAGCGACCGGTAGGGTTGCCATAGTTACTAGTCGAAATTGAAATTACGAACCGCCGGGTTGACCATGACACGTCATCAGTTTGATGATAGAGCGCCGGTGTTCGGGTGGCGCAGTGGATAGCGCACTCGCTTTCCGCAAAGACGGCCGACTTCACTTGCCCGATCGCATGGGTCACCTACCCGACTACGGGGGTTTTATGCGGGTACTCCGGTTTCCTCACACTTAAAGACTCCTTTCGTGTTTCCGTCTAGGCCAACATGAGTGATTAATATTTTTATAAAACGTCGGCGTAATAAAATTACATTACGTTCCATCAATGACCCTATCGCCATTAGAAACTTTCGCTATACCGGCCATATCCTCTAAGCCAGCCAGTCCGTGTATTACATTAGACCTTACGGGAGCCCCATCACGATCTGAGATAGTGTGGGAGTGATGAGGGATATCGTTACGGGCTCAGATTACAGACCCCGGGGAGAGAATATCCCAACAGACCCTCAGATAAACTCTACTTCAACTGGTTGATTTCTGTTGAATATTTCTATGTTCGAGTGGACATTGGTGCTTTATTGCGATTTGACTCAAACTAATTAGTCTTTTAACTTGTGCAATGCGAGAAAAAGCTATTAAATTTGAGTATGTAAAACATTGGACCATTAAACTTGAGAGAAGTCTATCCATTATCTCTTGTGAAAAAAAATATCAAAATCCGAATAGGCTATCTGGCGGCCATCGTTATTTTCCCATTCGTTCCAAAATGAAAAGGTACACAGCAATTCTACAGACCAGGTGAAAGAGGAAGATATGTCAGGTATTCCTTGCAAAACAGAGATAAATTAAACATCCAAAACGATTAAAATGGACAAGGGAAGTTCCGAACCTTCAGACACATTTTGAGAACGATCTGTCCGGCCCTTCTTGGGTATTAAGAGATAAAAAAAGACCGGACACCGGACGAACGGTTACTGCGTTAGCCACAGAAAACGATTTTTTTTAAGAAAATCTAAAATAAAGACTATAATCAGTGTTATGAGGGTTTCTGACACCAATTCTCTGTCATATATATATACTAGAAATAAAACAAAACACGAAGACTAGTATAATCGGCTAGCGTTTTCGATTAACGCCCGAAGAGCCCCAAGATGGGCGAAAGCGCTAGCCGATTATACTAGTCTTCGTGTTTTGTTTTATTTATATTTTTACCGTCACATGGACATTTAAAACTGTTCATCGCTATATATTAGTATATATATGTGCAGTAGAATGTACATCAGGTGCAAGCTTGATTCCTTGTTTTTACATACTCAGTTATGTAGATACATTGTACATACCCTGTTTTAACTAACGGGTTTTGAATATCACACGGAAAGATATATTAAATTGATCCTTTTTTTCTGTGAACACACGCCATGTAACGATACTACCTCATCATAAATCGTGACGGGTACCAACACTCAAAGTTGTATTTCGCAAATAATAATGGTATGGTAAATTCGGATGCTTTCTTTGTTTTTTTTCTCATTCATAAAAACCATATGATAAAGATAATTTAAAACTCAAGAAGCATATTTAATGGTGTTCCATTTGTAGCCTCTCGAACATCGTAAGAAACGCTCATTTTGATGTACTAAACTACTTAGCTCTATGCGTGCAAACTTGTTCTGTGTCGAGACAAGGTATATTTTTTTTACATTTTGAATTGGTTTCATAAGATCGCCGTGAAGAAGTTTGTAGCAGCAGGTCACCGCAGTTACTGCAGAAGCCGTGGTTTGTCTTCTGGACGTGCGCTTAATAATAAACAAGTAGCGTCCAAAAGATAAAATGCTCAAACTGACATTGGATTATTTATGTACATAAATGTACAAACAAAGATCTTCTGATATAAACATGTACAAGTTGTAACGTTTATCTTTGTATACACAATCAACTGCTTTATTTAGGCACGATAGCGACGTCAGTGAGTACAGATAACTGATACGCGCGTCTATTAAAAGTTGTAATTATAAGGGTATAGATCGAAATTACTGATTCACTAGTACCGAAAGTAGACGTCCAAGTATGAGTATAACTTGTGCCATGTAACATCGACCGGAAGCTCAACTTTGTTGGAATGTCTTTTGAGCAGTTGAGCCTTGGAGCAGAAGTTCTCTGGAATATTTATATGTTACTTTTATACAGGAAGCATAACCTCTCTGGGATGTCTGTAATAGCTCAACAGCATTGCAACCGGAAGTGAAGTGGACAGAATTAAGAAGCGCCTCAAGAAGCGACTGACGCTTACAACGGTGTCACAATCAATGAACCAATGAACCAATTGCCACTCGTCTGTGGTCCGTATTGTTATCAGTAATTCTAAAGAATTGGGAAAAGGCTTTACATAAGATGGAGAACATGTGTCCAATCCCTTTTGTATATTATATATTATATCACGTTATATCACGTAAACAAGCAAGAATTAACGGCAAGAACGAAAACGCGGAAAGTTAAAACTCGAACAGTATTGATTCTAGCTTTACCATACCAAATTTGAATGGAATTGATAAAAAAACACGTTTTTGCATTTACTACATACACAATGCCCTTATTTGTTTTATATTGATCATACTTATAGGACCAGTATAGATAAAAAAATATCTATTCATAGACGATTCGGGTTATAATAACAAGACGTGAAATCCTATTAACCGTACCTTTGTCCGCGAAACCTTTCTTATGGGAAAGCGTTTGATACTGTTTGGAGGGTAGGTTTATGGAAGAAATTATTAAAAAATAATATCACAGGAAAGATATTTAATGCTATAATTAATCTGTATGCAAACACTAAATCTTGCGTAAAAACTAGCAATGGTATGACTGATTTTTTCACATGTCACGTCGGGGTAAAACAAGGTGAAAATCTCTCCCCATTTTTGTTCTCAATATATTTAAATGATTTAGAAGAATTTTTAATGCAAAATAATGTTGACCAACTCCATTATATTGATAATTTATTTCAAGATCGCATGGGTATATTTGTTAAATTATTTATTCTGCTATATGCAGATGACACAGTTGTTATGTCTGAAACAGCTAAAGGTCTACAGAATGCTTTCCGTGAATTTGAAACTTACTGTACTATTTGGAAACTTAAAGTTAATCTCAATAAAACTAAAGTTGTTATCTTTGAAAAAAGAAAAAGTAATGCACAAAATATTCGTTTTACTCTTTTTGGTGAAGAGTTGCAAACACATGACTGTTACTCGTTTCTAGGACTGCTGTTTCATTATAATGGCAGTTTCTGTAAAGCAAGAAAAAAACTTGTTGAACAGGCTCAAAAAGCAATGTATGCATTATATAAAAAAATAAGAAATATTATTTTACCAATTGACCTACAATTAAAATTGTTTGATGTATTAATATCCCCAATCCTCTTGTACTCCTCAGAAATTTGGGGGTTTGAAAATACCAATATGATTGAGAAATTACATGTACAGTTTTGTAAAAGAATTTTAAACATTCGTAGCTCCACAGCAAATATAATGGTATATGGTGAAACGGGTAGGTACCCTCTGAATATTGAAATTAAATCTAGAATGATAATGTTTTGGTATAAACTAATTACAGGTGAAAATAAATTGTCTAGTATAATGTACAAGCTTATGCTGAATTTACATGAAAATGATTTCGCTGATTTTAAATGGATTTCATATATCAAGAATCTATTCAATTGCACGGGACTAAGTTACGTATGGTTACAACAAAAAACTTGCACTATGAATAAAAATTACCTTAGGGTTAGTTTTAAAACTATTCTGTATGACCAATTTATACAACAATGGTATACTGATATTGAAAATTCTTCCCGGGGTCAAACATATGCAATATTTAAACATCAATTTCAGTTTGAAAAATACTTAACTATGCTCAAACAAAAAGATAGAATAACTATCTGTAAGTTCAGAACCAGTAATATATCTCTGCCTATAGAGACTGGGCGATGGATCCCGGACTAGGACACCACGTGAAGGCAGAATCTGTCCCCTTTGTTTTACTGGAGTTGGAAGCGAGTATCATTATTTGTTTATATGTTCAAATGCTTATGTAAGTCAAATCCGCAGAAAATATATACCTATTTATTACACCTCTAATCCATCTGTTCATAAAATGAAAGGANCTGGGCGATGGACTAGAACACCACGTGAAGGCAGAATCTGTCCGCTTTGTTTTACTGGAGTTGGAAGCGAGTATCATTATTTGTTTATATGTTCAAATGCTTATGTAAGTCAAATCCGCAGAAAATATATACCTATTTATTACACCTCTAATCCATCTGTTCATAAAATGAAAGGATTAATATCAATATGTAATGTTAGAATATTATCAAATCTA